GATGAAGAACCATCATATACCATCTTCTCCGGAGGGAGAGGCTTCTCCTCCTCCTTCCTTTCACAGCTGACAGTTGTATGGGATTACACGAGGAAAATCCAGAGGCCCCTCCAAATCCTGTTTCCAGGAGGATTGGCTCTTGTTTCTAGACCTCCCTGGAGAATGTTTATCTCCACCGGACAGCAGGAGTCTGTGCATCCCTCTCGCCTTGCCTAAGCTTCCTCACACCCAGCTGTGCTAAACAATTGACTCTTGAGCCTGAGGAGACCTTCTCAGTTGAAGGTCTCCTCCTCCCCAGCAGTCACTGTTTTGGGGACTGATGAGTCTTCCTTGGTGGGATGTAAATGCTGCCTGTCCACAAACATGGTTAGGCTCATCAAACTCCTAAAAATAGGGGCTACCTGTTGGAATGAGTCCAGTGGAGGGCTATGAAGATGCTCTGAGGGTTGGACCACCTCTCCTATGAAGACAGGTTGAGAGAGTTGGGGTTGTTCAGCCTGGAGAAGAGAGGGTTTCAAGGAGACCTTAGAGCCCCTTTCAGTCCCTCAAGGGGCTCCAGGAAAGCTGGGGAGGGACTCCGGATCAGGGAGGGGAGCCATAGGACGAGGGGGAAGGGTTTGACACTGAAAGAGGGGAGATGGAGATGAGATGTGGGGAAGAACTTCTTTGCTGGGCGGGTGGTGAGAGCCTGGCCCAGGTTGCCCAGAGAAGCTGTGGCTGCCCCATCCCTCGAGGGGTTCAAGGGCAGGTTGGAGGGGGCTTGGAGCAACCTGGTCTGGTGGGAGGTGCCCCTGCCCAGGGCGGGGGGTGGCACTGGATGGTCTTGAAAGTCCCTTCCAACTCAAACCATTCCACGATTCTATGAACTTAACTATTGACCACCTCCAGCAGGCTGAAAAAGCAGATGATTTGTGTGTGGGCAGCTTGGATCCTCAGTGCATTTGTTTTGTGGTAACCCAGGCTCCCTGCGGTTTCGTTCCTCCAACGGTGCCAAGAAGCTCTCATCACGGAGAAGGAATTCACATCTCCAGAGGCGAGAGAGGCTGAAGAGATGTGGCTTGAGCTTCGTGATGAGAGGGAAAGATGGAACTACAAGGATGGAAACAAAAACCTTTCCAATCCACAGGCCTGACGCAGAGGCTCCCCCAGGCATTCAGTGTGACATACATGCATTTCTATAGGTGCACACACAGCATGTTTCCTTCCACCTCCCACCTCCTGTGATGTTGTCAAGTGTTTTAGAGGACTCACCTGGATGACTGGTGGCTTCCCACCATCCAGTCGCTCACGAGCACAGGCCCCTCACAGAAGAGAGCAAAAATGCTTCGGGATTAAATGATTTTCTTGTTTTGTTATTGCTCAGGAGGGACATTTCATCACCTCAGCATCAAGCCACTCACAAGCACGGGCCCCTCACAGAAGAGAGCAAAAATGCTTCGGGATTAAATGATTTTCTTGTTTTGTTATTGCTCAGGAGGGACATTTCATCACCATCCCATCTCCCATCGACAGTGTGTTTTCCCTGTTCTCCTTCTCACACGGGGAGATGACAAGAGGAAACGGCCTCAAGTTGCTCCAGTCGGGATTAAATGATTTTCTTGTTTTGTTATTGCTCAGGAGGGACATTTCATCACCATCCCATCTCCCATCGACTGTGTTTTCACTGTCCTCCTTCTCACACAGGGAGATGATGAGGAAACGGCCTCAAGTTGCTCCAGGGTGGGGTTAGGATGGGTATAAGGAAAAATTTCTTCATGGAAAGGGTTGTCAAGCTTTGGAAGGCGCTGCCCAGGGCAGTGGTGGAGTCACCATCCCTGGAGGGATTTAAAAGCCAGGCAGACGTGGT